ATTAAAGTCAGAATTCTGAGATTAAAGTCAGAATTCTGACTTTTTTCCCATGTTAAACTGAAAAAAAATTTAAAAATCAGAAATCAAACATTTTTTTTCAGTGGCCCTAATCCTCTTCTGTAGATATCAGACTACAGGCCTTTATTATCATTTTTTTATTTAAACATTGCTTGTTTTTTTTTTTTTAACATTGCTCGAGATCCTTAAACATCATGGAACAGAGCGGGTGACAAAACCTGGATATTCATTTTTTACGTGTTTACACCTGTTAGTGTACGTGAGCATATGTGGTCTCGAGAAATTACAGGGTAGATACTTCTTTCAAAGATATTATGTTTTTAGACGAATTTGTGTGTGTGTTTATGTTTGTTTGTCTGTCTGTAAGTCAGTATACAGGAGCTGACTTGGGTCCATAAAGTTTGTTCAAAAGTATTGAAAAGTTTAAGTTAACCTGGTTAACTTAAATTTTCCAGGTTAATTTTTTTTCTATTGAATAAACTTTATGGCCTAAATTTACCTCCATATAGATACAAATGTAAATAAAGGCTGAATCAATATTGATTTCATTTAAGTTATAGTTGAATTAAATGTCAGGATTCAACATGGGTCCAATATTTTTCCCTAACCATACTTCACTGTTGATATACTCCGACTTAGGATTTAAAAATTTGCCAAAATCTCTCAAAATCCTGTATTTAAAATGAATATACACACAAATATGTTGTTTGCTATGAACTGAAACCTTTGGGCTGAATGTAAAGCTGTTTTTTTTTGTCTGTTTGTGTTCTGAAAGGAAAGCGTTGACCTTGGGGAGATCATGTTCTCATTGTGCTACCTGCCCACTGCAGGCAGACTCACACTTACTGTTATCAAGTGCAGGAACCTCAAGGCTATGGACATCACCGGGTACTCGGGTAAGTCGTGTTCTCTTTGTATGATTCACTGACAATGACAACGAGTCAAAATAAACTATCTTCCTTTTAATTCCCATTTGTAATGATGACAGAGAAAATAAAGAATCCATGGACGGTAGTTTGAGTGGGCGAATTCAGATTGTTTCAGCTTATTATTATCCTGCACCTGCAAAATTACAACTTTGACAAGAAATAGTTTCAGGCAGTCTCTTATTTTAATGGAGTGCCATCTCACTTCTCTATTAAACCTTCCCCTACGATTGGGATATCACTTGTGAAATGTGACATTTATTAGGCTTTAAATGCCAGGGTTCAAGTGTTATTCGGAATAAATGTGGTTCCTTTTTCCTCCTCACACATTTAATGACATTTCACAGTTTTGATGTGACTCACAACTTTAATTCCCTGAGTTGTCAGAGCTTTTGCAGTCTGTTCATTGTAAACTTAGATCTATTGTATTGTGCCTCCCAGCATATCCAACATGTTTATGGATCCAGAGCAGCTTATAAATGACTAAAACCTGGCTTGATGGATGCTGTGCAGTGATTTATCACTCACAAATGAAGAGCAAATTCAGCATTCAGGAAGCTTTCTTAGTGATGCTATTTGGGAGCTATCTTTGGCCTTGCATCCATTTTGTTAACGCACGGCGGTGAGTCACTTTGATGCACATTACTGGCACCAGGTCCTCCAGCATTGCTTTTTTGTTTAGTAAAAACATTGATGCACCAGTTTATCAAATCCAGAAGGGATGATCCTTTGCTGTGGAAAAACATTCAAGCTTTGTCTTGATTGTTACTGCTCTGCTGGTGTGGAAATAAGATGAACAAACATGCTGAATTAATGGTTTCTTTCCTTTCTTTCTTCCTCTCTTCCCCTTGTTAGATCCCTATGTTAAAGTATCGCTCATTTGTGACGGCAGGCGTTTAAAAAAGAAGAAAACGAGCATTAAAAAAAACACCCTGAATCCCACCTATAATGAAGCCATCATCTTCGACATCCCTCCAGACAGTATGGACCATGTCAGCCTGCACATCTCTGTGATGGACTACGATTTGTATGTTTATTCTATAGCTTGATAAATAAATTATATTTTTACTTGATGGTTAACATGATAAAAAACAAAGAAGATCATGGTTGCCAAAATGTCAGTGTACTCTTTTTCTTTCTTGTTAAATTTAATCATTTTAGAGCAATAAGATTCATACGAACTTGATATTTTGTTGTTTTATTCATTTATAAAATTATTTTGAACATGTTTAATATAGCAGGTTTGTAAGAGAGTATTACTTACAATCACTCATGGACACATATTCAATTCAATTAAGTTTATTTAACTTAACACCAACTCCCAACACATGTCATCTCAAGACGATTCATTCAGTCAGTCTGATTAACGGTTTTCTAAGGACAACCACCTGATTGCATCCAGTCATTGACTTGCAGGAAATTCTCCTCCTCAATGAGGATGTAGCTAGCGACAGTATTCACTTGAATGGTGTCAAGGACTCTTTAGCAATCCCTAGCAACAAGCATGCATGCAGTGACAGTGGAGAGGAAAATCTCTTTTTTAACAGGAAGAAACATCCGGCAAACCCAGACTCAATATGAGTAGCCTTCTGTTGAGGTTGGCTGGGGTTCAAAGTGAGCAGCAGACATACAAGAAGAACACAGAAGCACTGATCTATAAAGGCTTTGTGGTTTAAAAAAGTAAAGGTAAACTAAGTCAACAGTTAAGCCGGGCGTACACTATGCGATTTTTTTCAGTTAACGCACGCAACTGCCGCTCACACTGTACAGTGTGAGATCACAGCTCACGATTTATGTTCGGTTCGACGCTCTCATGCGATCTACCTGCTCACAGTACGACTAAAAAGCACGTCGGACTCAGCTCCGCAGTGAGATAGAGCTGCTCTGACGCGTTTATCAGGAAGCAAGACAAGTAGAAGGGGAATATTAAGCTCACTATAGTGAAACGCACTGCCTTGTGCATTTCTGTGCTGAAAGCCCTAAAAAGAAAAGGCGACAACGTATTTGGACAAAGACATGGCTTAGCAAACTTGGCTACTATGGTCTGTTTATTTTAAAGAAAGAACTGCATTTCACTCATTGCACCCCTGCCTCACTGCTGTGTTTACATCTGAGAGGCAGAATAAAACGTATTCTCATTATCAGTTTGTATGAAATCGTACGAAAAGTTATGCACAGTATTTCGTACGTTTTTGTACTTTTTTCCTCCTGCATGCACAGCCAGACAGACGAAAAAAGCAGATCCTCACTAGGTTGCTTGCTGTTTTGTATCTTAGGGTTAGGGTTAGGGTTAATTGTATGTTAAATTCTATGTTATTGAATGGTGCGTAAGATGCGCATGCGCAAGGATATCTTGTCTCGAGGCAAGACGTAAAAATATGACGAAATACGACGAAAAAAACGTCATAAACGTACGAAATACTGTGCATAACTTTTCGTACGATTTCATACGAACTGATAATGAGAATACGCTGAATAAAAAGAAGAATCCTTGTTTGCGCATGCCCACTGAGCCATTTGCCCACGACGGTCGGGAGAAAATCAAACATGTTTGATATTCCCTCGACCTCACGATTCCTGATCGGGAGGTGGTCATGAGAGGCCGATCGCCGCTCGTTACCCCCTATACACTACACGACTTACGACGCACGATCAGGCTTAAAACGCGGCCCGATCAAAAGATTCTCGCACGACTGGAAAATCGCCCAAAAAACGCACAGTGTATGCTGGCTTTAAGAAGACAAGCCCTGAGTGGGTTTTCATGCAAAGGTGATGAAAGCACATACTGCTAGTCACAGTAAACGCCGTACCCATTATTATGTCTAGGAGAGAAACAGGACTAGACGTTAAAAGCCTAACTGTATCATCTATAACTGAGGTGTTTATGGCCGCAGCCCAGCGGATATTTCATTGTTTATAGTTTCTCTGGCTTTAAATAGGCAAGGCAAGGCAAGGCAAATTTATTTGTATAGCACAATTCAGTATAAAGACAAT